GTAATAGATTTGAATTCACCTTGTGAATACGCTTGTTATTTAATTTCATTGTAACACAGGCCTGAGCTCTTGAGTCATGATGGGGTAAGAAACGAGGGGTGCTGTAGCACCAGATATTGATAGTGGTAAGCTTGCAGATTGTTGGGAGTTGGGTTGCTGTTGATTGGCAGGCTGTGGTCCAGATCCACTCATTGTTATCGTCTGCTGAGCCATTGTAACAATTGGTGGTGGTATTGATACAGGAGCCATTGATACAGCAGCAATTGAAACTGGAGTTACTGTTGCAATGCTGACGGGAACAGTGGCAACACTCGCTGTCACTGTTCTCAGAGTTCCCGCTGCAACTGCTGCATTCACCATTTGCTGAGGTGTTGGTGCTTGAGATGGGGGGACTGTATTTGTTATTGTTACAGCTGGTACTGTTACGGCTGTCACGTTAGCAGTCCGCTTGCCAGACATCCTAAGTTGAGCATTTTGATCAAGCAGAAATTCGTTTGTCGCTGTTAAATCGCTCACCTAAAATTCGTATATATAGATAATTTCTTTCGATAAAAATTAGTACTCAAATTGCATCAAATTCTGAAATACACAATTGTACACATCCAAAACTCTATTAAATTAATATGCATAATACTTTAGCATTGCATCACTAGCCATCTGGTATGAATGTATGTTGAATGCATGTTATATTCACCTGTTTCTTTAACTCGTCAATTTTTTTTCTCAGCAATGAGTTTTCGTCTTCGAGAACAATAGCCCTAGCTTCATTCCTCGCAATAACGGGATAATAGTATCCAGGTGTAACCTGCTGTGTAGTATGCTGGCCGAGTAGTGGTGAGGCTTCGAAATGTACAACAGTTTCACCGGAGACTATTCTTCTTTTGGGTTCAGGTGGACCTATGTAATCACCCTGATGAGGCGATGCATTGTACCCGTTGTTCTGCACCACTGGGTGCTGATCCTCTATTTTCCAGTGATAACTGGAAATAATAACGATTCGATGATTCTCCAGTACCTAACAGATCCTTTTATCTATCATAATTCAGAGTTTCTCCCAGCAATGGACATGAATATGACGAGAGGAACCTGCTCAGCCCATATTATGCAATAGCTTGTCTATTTATGCGCGGAAAGAATGATTACGCGTATCACTCTGAAGAAAATTAATGCGGAGTATTAATTATAAAAAATTAATTATAAAGACTCTTGGGAATCGACACCTCAATGACACTCCATACATGTTGTTGTCTTATATGAGATCGATTTAATAATCTCGTGTGAGTATTTAGATAAATGAAAAACCTTTTATTCGAAAAATATTGAAAATATATTGAAAATATATTGAAAATATATTAAAATTTTGATACTCACTTTCTGTCCTCTTCAAATCGCCTATTGTCACCACCACCGTTGATATTATAATTATGCTGAGGTCTTGGTTGACTGATATGAGGCGATGGAATATGATTGTGCTGAGGTTCCTCTTTCTTATGATGCCGAAATTTACAATTTACCCTTTGGCAACTTCCCTTTATGAAGTCCTTACACACTGGTAATTCTGTCTTATCGGAATTATTTTTTAATCGATTTACAATATGAGGCGGCAATTCTCCTGTTACTCTAAAATGTTTTTCTTCATTCTCAGTGCAGTGAATGAATTTGCAACCGAGCCAATTACATATACCATTTTGAAAATCGTGACAGAATGTGTATTCTTCTATGGGATCATCTTCGGATCTTTCGTGCAAGTATTTACAACGCTTTCCACGATGACAAACATTCCGAAGAAAATCTCGGCAAATCCGTTTTGGCGATGATTCAGCGTTCGATGAACCGCCTGCCATTTTATTATTGCCCTCTTCGGCTTTTCTCTTCATCAATGCAGCATTCCAGGTACTTTTTCTTTCAAATTTGAAATTTTTTAATTTCAGTTCATTTCTCCTTGGTAACAGCCCCGTTAGAATTAATTCTGTAACATCCATGAAACTAGTAAATAGAGTGAATCAAATGTCCAGAAAACAATTTCTGTCAATGAGAAAAAAAAACTCTCAGACACCAACGACAAATGCCCGGCAGTTTATCCGATAAATGTTTTCTCGGTTGTTGATTAGGTGACAGGAGGTCGCAGACAGTATTGAATTCATGAGGTGAATAAAGATTGCAGTCAGTTAAGTAACATAATATATTTGTGTGAGATCATGACTGTATTGAATCAGCGGTTTATTAAGTGGCAGGAAGCCAAGGAGCAAGGATGAGAATGTGTATGTCGACGGAAGCATGAGATGAGCATGAAATGAGCATGAGATGATTATTCAAGTGATAAATAAAATTTTTAATCCCAGTTGAATTTTAATTATGCTTCTGTGCATTCATCAACTCTAAACATTATCTTCAATAATGTAATAATACCTCATTTTCGATTGAATTATCTACGAAAATATTGCACGATGAAGAATACGCGAAATTAATTCCTTGCACAATAAAAATCAAGATTTGACAGAAATAAAAATCAAGATTTGTCAGGGAACGTGATGAATGGAAATATGACAAACACTTGCTGCACCACAAAATTGTAATCAATTTACTATAATAATTACCGCCTTATGATATCATCATAACGAAAAATAAAAAAAATTATGGTACGTATGTACGATGAGTACCTAAAAATCCATGGGAGTAATTAAAATAACGAATTAAGAATGAACATGGGAAAATCTTGCGATAAAAAAAATTACAATCATCAATATACAACCAATGACTTGATTCAAAATGGTAATGGAAATGACTTGTCAGTCATTTTAATTTGACATGATAAAAATTTGCCGTAATATGCCAATAATTTTTTAGTCTGATAAATTTTAAAACGTAACGTCATTTCATACGAGGAATTTTCTTCTGCCTCAAGTAAATTATTTCCTACGGCTATTTTTAATTCACGCTGACAAGGAAGAAAAAGTATGACGCATGAGCCAGAATGAATTTGAACTTTAAGACGATTCCAATGAACACCTACATGTTGCAAAAGAGAAAAAAAGATTTTTGTATTTTTTATTTAGTATTTATTTTTCATTTCTTTCTGTTTCTATAGTGACTGTGTTACATGAATATGTCATCTCAACAACGGTATTTACATGATTTCATATGGTAATTTAATTTATGATTTTTTTGTGTCGATTTTGCAAAGGTTTGTAACCTTTAGCAAATGGATTCTTCAATGGTTTGTTCCTTTCGAGCATTTCCTTTTTAATTTTTTGTTTCGCATTTCACATTCTCTCTTATCTAACTTCGTGTCACGATAACGTGTTAATAAATACATTGACCTCGAAAAATGGCACTATGTAAACAAATCGATTATTAAGAAAATACGATAATTCATGACTCTATATATTCATATTGGCGTGTATTTGTTTTATAATTAAATTCATTAATTTTTATATTCTTCGATTAAGATTTTTTTTTGTATAAAAAAGAAGCGATAGAAAAACAGTGAAGAAAGAAATACAATAGGCCGTTGAGTTTATCCGATTGGCCATTGAATAATAATTAACAATTTTAGAATTAAAAACATTTTTATTATAATGACGTTCTGTGAATTTTTAAATATTCATTTAATGGCAGAGTAGCAGATGGTCTCATTCAACAATAAAAAAAAAATTGTGAATCCACCGTTTTTGGGGAATTTTTTTAGCGTAATTCTCAATGGATTTATAATGACTTAAGCGTACTCAGAAACGGATGAATTTTATCAGAAATTCATTAATGAAACATTAACACTGGATAAAAAATTAAATTTATATGGGGTTTGTAATATTGCAAAACAACACAAATATACATATGCAATTGACCACTTCATAATACAAAATGAAGGAAAACTAATTAGTGGTCAACAGTGGTTCATTCATGGATGAGAAAATAGGTCGCATTGAAATGCTCCTTATTGTTCAACTGAAATAACATCATGTAAGAAGGATAATAAAGATATGATTGAACATTGGCAGTTCATTGAGTTTTTTCTCCAAACCGTCGTATTGTCTACTCTCAAGTGCGCTATCGTTTTCACATTCTAAAAACTTAAGCTCTCAATATATTTATCATACTAATTTCCCAATCGACGTTATACGGCAAGGGTATTATATACAATTTACAATTGAACTCCGAACCCATTTTCCCTTCGTTAATGTTTAAATATATATATATACGTAAATATGTAAAGAGAAAAAAACAATAAGGATGAAACCCTAATTTCATCACTATCTTCAGATCCACAATAAAACCTGGATAGATGGTCATCCTTTACAGCGATTTTTCACTCGTTATTTACATGGGTTATTTAAATAGTCGTGTCAATTAGAACATTTTCTCAAGTAACATCCAAACGAAGGCAACGGCAACAAGTGCAAAATATTGAATTGGTACACTGTAGCTCGCATTCAATAAATCACCACAATGTGTAGTGAATGTCTTCAACTGTTTTGTCAGTTCCGACTTCTCAATGTTTGAGACTATGAATTTTTCTTTGAGAATAACAAGCTCCTCGTTGACCTCCTGCATCCTCGAGTTTTCGTTCTTGATGCGGTAATAAAGCTCTTTGAGTTTTTCCATGACTTGTTCGTTTGGCTCTCGAATCAGCCAGTCACGAAGTTCACTCAACTCGCAATTGACAACATGCTGAGCTTCCAAATCATCATCACCTTTTAAAGACTCTAGTGTCGCAATGAACGTCTGGAGAATATGATCACGAGTATGATTACACTGAGAAAAGCTATCACTCTTGCTCAG